TGTTCATGACAGATTCATTGTCACCAAACATGTAGCTTTGACCTCTGATCGGCACACCAAGGTACCTCAAGGTTTGTTGGAGATCCATGATCTGTTTGGCACAGGTTTGAGTGGCTACAGACTCAGAATCATAAGTAGCAGTCTCAACATTTGACTGCTCCTTAGAGAAGAAATCAATTGAGGTTCCATTCAACATATGATGGATTATACCGGCAACCGGGTTTTGTTTTGTTTTGCAATACGTAGGTAAAGTCACCATAAGGTAGGAGTCTGGGCTTGTGTTTGCCACAATATTTAAGGTCATTGACAAGTTGGACTTGGAACTTTTGGTGATCTTTTGGTGTTGGGATTCCTCTCCCCATGTCCACAAGGACCTTGTACCTTGCAAGCAGATCTATCTTGACTTTGGTGGTGTGTTTACATTTGGTGTTGCCATGGAGTTTGTCAAGTTGGAGGACATCATTGTGGTCTTTCTGGATCTTGTAGTAGTACATACACTTTGGTGAAGTAGTGTGTAGCAATATCAGCTTGACTTGATTGGATGGACAAAGAAGTTTTTTCTTGTGTCCTTCACAATATTTCCAAGAAGTGTACAACCTTGACTTTCCAATAGGTTGTTGTTGAAATTGCTCTCTTGGAGACCATTCATTGGAAACTCCTTGATAGAAGCAGTTTGACACGTCCGATCGGACAGACGGACAAATGTCCGTTTGTTCCGTTTATTCGGGGGATTCCTATGAGTCGGTTTTTTGCAGGGAATCTGAAAACATGGAATTGTGGGCTTGGACTATCAAACGTCTGAGCGCCAAGAAAATCCCAGACTGAATCCTGCGGGAGTTCTGTATGTGGGTTTGGTACCAGCCTTTCTGGATTGCAAACATCCAGTAAAGGTTTGGGAAATTTGAGTTTTTGTGCAAGGCTTTTGCTTTGCCCATTCCATGTAGATAACAAGTCTTTTAGAATAGTTATTTCCTGTAGAGATGATTATTTCGTATTAGACGGATTGGAGATCGCTATGGTTAGTGCCTCTGCATGACAACTTGATGGGTCGCATGTTGGCACGGCTGGTTGGCAATGATGGCTTGATGGGCCACAAAGTTGTCAATTGGTTTGGACGACAACAAGCCTGTCGCTTGTCTGATGACCGCCAGAACCAAAATCCAACTGTTGTGATTTCTAGCATGCATAGTGTAGGTCACTGAATCATCAGCTCCAGTGATGCTCAGTGGTTTTGAGGTATTCTCCCCATGTTTCCATCCAATGGCCATACTGTAGGTCAGACCCAGGTAAGAAGGGTGTTTAAGTCAAATGTAGTGATGGTGGCATACAACTCTCTTCAGCTTCCAAACAATGGCGTTGTCCTTGTCAATTTCTGACCACTTGTGGATGTTTTGGTAAGCCATGACACGTTCATATTCACCTTTGTCAATGTTCAGGCATAGTTCAATACGTGCAGGCTGAATGTCCCTCTTGCAATTGTGGTTGTAGTTGAGCTCAACGATCTTAGTACCTTGAACATGACCTTCATCTGGTGGGCTGCGATGAGGTTCAGAGGATGACAACTTGCAAGTCAAGTCTATGAGTTTGTCTCGCTTTGGAGTAGACTCAATGACAAAAATGAAAGGCGTTTCAGGAACAAACAGATCAGCTGGTTGCCTGTCTGACTTGTAAGCTTCAAAATCTGGTGGTCTAAGTTGTGGCACATGGGTAGGGTCTAAATCAAATAGACCAGCCATGTTACATTCCAACCAATCAAGATCAGAAGCTTGTCCAGGATGTAGTTTGTACAGACCATTTGTTGCCATGAAACAGTGATGACTTTCAATGAAACCAATAGCATCATCTAAGGCAGGAGAATCCTTCAGAGTAGTGACTGTTGTGTTACTCTTAGTAAGGATGTCCACTCTATCAAATGGACTTTGTTCACCTGTAGACCCATCATCCGGTATGTCCACTCTATCAAATGGACTTTGTTCACCTGCAGACCCATCATCCAAAGCTCAGTCCAAGTCAAAGAAGCGACTTGCATCTATACCAGAGAACCCGAAAGGTGCCAAGGAACACAATTTGCGCCCGTCTCCCTCTGTCCCGATGCAATTCAAACTGACGCCACCAAAGGGTCGGTCCAACCCCTACCAATGCACTGCACCTTTGGATGCCACCCCTCCGTGGAAACAAGTGATCACGTCTGACGCAGTTCACGTCATCACCAGCACCCCAACAGGAACACAGGAAGCCAGTGTTCCAGCTGATGCTGTGGTAGCCAGCACTCTGCGTGGAAGGACCAATGAGGAAAATGGAGCAGAGGAACACAATAGTGCCCTGACCTACAGGGACACTGTTGCCTCTCCCCCTGCTCCCACGGTTCCTCTCACCACTGATGTGCCTTCTTGCTGTCCATTGGACTGTCTCTCCCTTTCAGCACATTACATCTTCAATGTGTCCGTCGTCTTTGATTGGCAGAGCATCGGTTTGTCCAATTTCAATCAAGTCCAGACCGCCTACAATACCTTCCATCAGTTTGCTTCCAGTATTTGGGGCAAGATCACTTCCAAGGTCGTCTTGTGTTTTGCTGACCGTCTTTGGATAGTAATCCACTTCCCTGCAATAGTTTGTCTGCAGATTCAGCATCAGAGGAGCTGTTCTCATTTGATTGCAGTTGCACATAAATCCTGTTGCAAGAGCGGCTTTAAAGATATCATCCTTGAACTTGTCTTGAGCTGCAGTATTGGTGCTAGCAATAGCAGCATACGCTTTTGTCTTGACTGCAAAATTTTGGAACCAGGCAATGCCATATAGATCTTGCAGGACTTCAGCCTGTCTCAAGCATTGTTCCTTGAAAGGCATCAAGTTTTCTGTGGTTCCTTGCTTCATTGCAAAGAACTTTAGAAATCCAAGAAGTCATATTCAGCATTGGCACTCTTCTCTATGAATCGTTCAATACGGTTCAAGAGTTTGATTGGAACTTCAAGAGTAGTAGTGAAATCGGCTTCACCTCAAAGCTTGATATCCATTGCCTTGGTCACAAACTTCAGCATGATGTTTGATTTGACAGTTGCTTGTTTGTCTCAAAATATGCTGCTCTGTTCATATGAATGGTCAGTTTTGCAGAATAGAGAATCTTGTTTTGAGTCATCTCTGTTTCTCTTGCAACAACTTCCGTTTGAACTGGAGCATCCATTTTGGTGTTATGGAAATCAAAGTTGATTGACTTTCCATCTTGAATCAATTTCACCATGTCTTTGGAGCACTTCATTGCAGAAGCTTGGACATAGTCAATCAGTCTTTTGTTGGCATCTTCAAATGACAATCTTGTCTTTCCACGGTTTTCATCTATTGTTGAAAACAGATGTTTCACAACTGTTGAACTCAAGTTGCTCTTGACTTTCTGAGGAGTCACACGTCCTCTTCCACCACCGGATGAAGAACGTCCCATCATCAACAAATCATTCACTCCTTTGTAGATAAGGCAGTGCTGTTCTTGACGAATTTTTGTTTTGTTGCCTTTTGTGATTGAATGTTAGAGTAAAGCAAAATATGCTCTATCGTGAGTGCCTTTAGTGCTCAGAACAAACTCCCTGCAATCTAAATTTGTAATCAACTGTACAACACTTTCACAACAATAGTTCTCTTGTGTTAGGTATACTTTGAGTGAAATTGTTCCTATTTGATTAATGTTTGGCTTGAATTGATGATTCAATCACAAAAGTGAGTTGAACAATTTTCCTTTGGAAAATCCCTTCTTTACGGAACTCGATTTGAATTCTTCGAGGATTCTGTGTTGAATGCAATACTTTGGGACATCTTGTATTATTCCCTACTGGATCGTACACAACACCGATACTACACTTTTATAGGGTCATTCCCTTTTTGTGTGGATGTAGATTGTCTGACAGACTTGCGTCCGGCATACTTGCGTCAAATCCCGACATCACGATCAAAGTCTGATTGTACCTGTCAAAAACTTCATACTTGAATAGTTTCTTTTTGGAACGTAAAAACTCATATTTCGTCATATCCCAACACACTCCTGCCATTGTGACAATCACCATTGGCAGCAATGGGACATGCTCTCATTCACTGTTTATTTTTGTTT